AAATAGCTTTTTACTTTTAGCAGCTTTGATCTTGACCAAGGCACATGCTGTACTCTGCTCTGTTGCTCTGATAGCAACCAGTGTTTGATTTTAGTGCATTTAAATCCCCCCAAAACTGATTTTTGAATAAAATCTCAATAAAAACAACTGGCAATGATTTGCTGATGATTTAAACCCTCAATTTAAAATGATTTCATCATACAGGACAAAACAGTTTTTGGAAACTACGTGCTGACTTAGAACTCAGCAATACAGAGTGCATGAGGGGCATGTTTACCACCGTCTCGTCTTCTTCATCACTTTTAGCATTTGGAAACTGATTTCTGTGGTTTTAGAAAGCAAAACGTTTTTCCAGCTTGATATTGAGTTTCAGCTGCTCACCAGTTCAGGACCTCTCTGGTTAGCAGCAGCTCTGGACTACAGACAGGCCATCAGGGTAGCTAAATAAGCACTGAGACTCTTTGATGGCATCATATACTACTCAAAAATCTCTAGATATCATTCAGCATTGATGGGACTGCCATGTGCATTAATACACCCCCGGACCATAACAGAAGCTGGAATTTGAACTGAAAGCTAAAAACCACTTGGTCCCCGTCCTGTTTAAAATGCAGCGTCTCCAAAATTAATTTCAAATTTTGATTGGTCACATTTTCCCTCTTTCCCTTGAATTGGGTTTGGACCCACTGAGGGTGACTGGGTCTTAAATTTGCCAACACAACCGTCCATCTGTTTTGAATGCACTGCTGTCTGAAGGTCCAAATATAGTTCAGTGTGAGCGTGTGGCCTTTGTCTGAACGCTGATGCTTTTAACAGTATTACCGTACTGTGTACTGCAGATAATGAAACTTTAGGTGGAGCAGTTTTGCTCATAAATTGTTGAATTGTTGAAATGACGTCTTTGACAGGATGCTAAAGCTCTCTGCAGTTTTCCTCTTGACTTTTGTTTACGTCCTCCACCTTTAACCTCCTATAGGACCTAGGATCACATTTTGGGTTATTTGGACCAAAATATTCAATTTTGCTCTACAAGGGCCTGATGTCCACTTACGAGAACATTATACTGCAACTGTTCTATCGAAATTTTAAATGAATATCCTCATATGTGGCTCTGATTTTTCCTAAAAACAAAAGTAAGGTAAAAAAAAAAATCTGGTAATTCTTTGTTTTTACATTCATCGGGCCCCAATCAGCCCAAAACTCAAAGAGAAATTAAAAATGCTGCTGTGGAAGAGTTCGGGTCTTAGGAGGTTAATGTTAGCTCTGACTTAGCTTTCACAAAAGAAACTCTGCTGGACCTGAAGACAAAATGATCATTTCATCTTCAAAATATACAAATAAATTCAATTTCCCATTTCAAACATTTGATTGTTTTTTCTTTGCTCGTTTCAGAGGGTTTAAATTGTTTCCATTCACATTTTGTAAAACAACTTTTTTTGAAATAATCAGTAAATTATTTAAAATTGACGTCCTTTCCACATTTCTGTGACGGCGAATGCGAGTCTTATCCAAAGCCCAAACAGTCAACAATGATTGATTGTGTGAGCCGACTGAGGAGCCACGAGCTAAGAGGATTTTGACAGGCCCCATATATTAAATCCAGAGAGGCTTTTCAGTCCACGCTGTCATCATTACAGGTACAAGCCTCACTCATACTGATCTGTATAATCAATCATACTAATTCACTTTCCTGCTTTAAAAAGTAATTTTTCCATTGAAACATATTCACACATTAGCCTGTGGACGCTTTAAATGCTTCTTCTTCTTTTTTTAATGTGACAGTAGAGACGCATTGAAGCTATTCATAATTTAGGTCAGCTTTTAAACAGCAGGTCATGTGCCACAATTTAGCAGCGAGCATGTCAGATGCCTGTCATGTATTGCTTGCACTTTAAGGTCATTAAGCACTTGTAAGGCCTTTGGGGACAAGTCATTAGTGATGAATATTATACCTCCCACACGCAGTGTGTTAGAGACATTGTAGTCCCCACTATACCTTTGATGAATAGCATCAACAAATCCTATTTGCCAAGTGAACACAACAACACAGAACAAAGAGGCAATAGTGCAGCTACACAGATACAGTGGGGTGAGAACTATTTAAAGTAATAAAGGCTATTATAGGGTTTGCTAGCACAGCTGGAGGAGGAAAAGGAATCTCTTTGTTGCTATGAGTGCTCAGGAAATCAAGCTGTATTGCACCCATACTGTCACTACATCCCAGCTGAGCCTTTTCCCTGACAAGACAAGATAAAAAGGATGAAGATGCACAAATGGGATAAAGGTAAAAGCTGGAAATGAGGAGTGTGTGATAATATGCACGATTCTATTTTGTTAATCCGATTCCTTAATTACTACCATCTGCTGTCTGAAGAGGAAAACAGGAAGTTTTGCATTCTGACTTGGTAATTAAAGATAAATACGCAGAAATGCATTTTCAGGTGGCATAATAGTTGATCTGCGATCGACCTATCCCCTCAGCTTCATCCTGTTACAGACTTCTCAGGCTTGTGTGGTGTGTGCAAAATACCTGTGCTATAAAACAGTCGTTATAAAAGCCTGATTGTGTTGGCTTACTGGATTTTGAGTCTATTTTATAACTTTTGTCATTTAGTTCTTGAGTTTATTTTCTTCTAGCGTTTCCATTTTCCTGTGTAAAGAAGCCTGATGATTGAATCCAATCACAAAACAATAATAATGCATACTTCATTCATCCCCGTGGGGAAATTACTCTCTCTACATTTGACCCATTCAGTCAGTGAAGCAGTGGGCAGCCGCTAAGCAGGCGCACCGGGGAGCAGTGTGTAGGGATGGTACCTTGCTCAGGGAACCTCAGGGTAGCCGTTCAGTGGATTCGAACCCCCGACCTTCCGATCACGGGGCAACCACTCCACCTTCTGAGCTATCCCTGGCTCAGGAAGACATTATTATAGCAAGCTGGAGACACTACAGCTGGAAAGAATGATCCCTGACTCTTTCGTTGTGCGGAGAGTGGTGAAGGCAGCGGTCAGCGGTCCGAACCAATTATCCAGATGACTACTTCATACATTTACCGAAAATATTTCCACTTTATCAGCCTTCAGATCCCTGGATCCAGTTTGTTGCGTGGCAGTGAATGAAGCTGTGGAGGCACAGAAAGTTTGGGCAAAGGTGTAATTAAAGCTAATTATGGCACGGCAGAGGAGAGGGGAGAGGAGCACATTTATCTTCCCCACAAATGAGCAGAGGCTGGGAGAGCTGAATTAGCTGCCTCTCCCCTGCCACACCACTCCTCACAAGGACACTCCTCCTGGAAGACGAGGTGGGGTCAAGTGCATGTGTATCCCCCAGCATTATTCTTACAGGCAGATGGGGTCCCTTGGCCACTGGGCGCTGGGAATTGAAGCACTTTAAGCAAGCTCTGAGCCAAGCCACTCAGCCTCTGCATCATTAGACTGAGCTAAAAATACATATCCCACCCATGGTTGGGTGCAGAGGACCAGTTCACTGACTTTCCCCGATTCCTGTTTGTGAGAGGCGTGACATCCTCCCCCTCTTTTCTTTGTTTTTGTTAGACATGAGTTCCATGAGGTTTTGACACTACACCCAATAAAGCTGCTATTAAATTGAATTATTGTTGAATATAGTACAACTTCACACTGTTGTTGCACTGTTATTAATGCTCACCCCACGGTATTAATGGACCTAAAAATCAATGCATGTTGTGGTAATGCTGCAGTGACATGTGCTACGAGGCATTCACTCGATCCACATTTATGGAACATAAAGCTGCAAATATTAAAGTTTTTAAAAAATATATTATCTGATTAATTATCTGCAATAAAACATGCATTACTACTTAAATACTGATTTTCAGTTGGCAGACAGTGAAAACATCTTCAGCCACCTTTCTGCATCTAAATATAAATATAACTGTGCTCCTAGGTTATGTTGGTGAGGGTATTATTCACCTGGTATGTCTCCATGCAAGCAGAAGACTTTAAAAGAGCAAAGCATGTTCCAGCAGCCATTGTAAATCTCAGCCTGATGCTTGACTGCTCTTCATGAATGACACTGAACAACCTGAGTGAAGTGACCTGAACTGAATAGATTTATTCCTGCCAAATGGTGCACAACCTGGATGTTGAATAACTCCATGTTTTCTTTCTTTATTACAATATAAATGCAAAACACGACACCAACATAATGAATAAGCTTCAGAACCTTTACTAAAGCGCACGTATTGCTTTGACAGCTTATTGGGGCAACACCGTGAGCGCTGGAGACTCGGGACACGCATAATCTCGTGGCCCCACACATGCAAGTAATTGTGTGATTGCAAAGGCTGGGGTGACTAACAACTCAGTGCTGAGAAGCAGCTTTCCAGGGTAAATATTGTCTTTAAATGTCGAAAATATGCTGTGCTTATTTAGTCTTTTATTATTCATTGCCGCTGCTGTAAGGTCAGACACCACCTGCAGTGCTGGTTGGGTGGAGTTAGTTGGCCACAGGTGTCCTTGAAGCAAGAGTTCATACTTTATGAGAACATTGTAGCTAACGTATCTGTCCTGAAGGAGGGGGATAAATAATGAATTATTTAAAATTACTAAATAATTTGGATGAAATAAAGATACAGTCGCTAAACTAATAATAAAAAATTGAGTTGCTGCTTCTCTTCTCCATAAAATCAATTGTGTGGCTTTGTCTTTAGCTTGGTGGGCGTTAACGACCACAGGCTGCTGTTCAATTTAGTATTTAAGCAATTATGCTAATGAATGCATATTTTACCATTTAATGATAAAGCCGAGGTTCATGAAGTAATGACCGGACACTTTCTTCTAGTATTCATCACCACTTCCTACTTGAACCGTTCACCTGACGCGCATTTGCAATTATTTTGTCACGCATGTACGATAAAAACATTAAAAATGCGCCGGTTGCAAATCATAATTAAGTTCGGAAATAACAAGACTGTACAAAGTGGCTCCAGCACATTTGACTTGCAGCTAAGTTAGTAGCCGTACTGTATCTTTACCGTTACTCGCAGAACAAACGTCCACGGACAGCACTATTTGCGCCGAGGAGGAAGCGTGCAGCCTGTAAAGCGGCACTGCGGCATCGCCGTATCACTGCGCCCCGGTCTCCCTTCTCCGGGATCCTGAAGCTCGGATCTGGGGAGAGGAGGAGGAGATACCCTATGGTTTTCCTTCGCGGGATTTATTTTGCCAGCTCCAAACCTTCTTGTGCTTTATCTTTATTTTTTCTTTAGTGACTGAAGGCCTTCAACTTGTCCGGACGGTCCCTCCCCACTCGCAAGGGTTTGCAATTCTTGGTTTTGCATGACGTGTCTTGGAGCAAAAGGAAAAAAAAGAAGAGAGAGAGAGAGAGAGAGAGAGAGAGAGAGGCTTGCTTTTGTTGTGTGTCTTATAGTAGAAAATGAAGCTTGGAGAGCCGGAGCAGGAGGCAGTGCCAGTCCGCTGCTGCTGCTGCTGTGGGCTGGACTGGATTACAGAGCCTGAGATCTTTACTGACAGCACAGGCAGACAAAAAGGGACTGTGAGCTGAGACAAGAGAAAGAGTCTTTGCTGAACTGGAAAAGCCAGGGCGAGTGCTAGGACACAGTTTGTGTGTGTGTGTGTGTGTGTGTGTGTTTAAATAAGCGATATTTTGGGAGCTATTTGCACAGTGTCTGTGTGCCATTAGATGAGTATTGGCATGGGGCATCAGGTTAAAGGCACAGGTACTTAAAAAAGGCTTAGAAGCATTATCACGGTAAAGGTGCATTTGCCTTCTTGGGGGTGTTGTTAGAAGACTGAACATGTACTGTGAAATGAATAGCTGTAAATGGTTGATGCACACTTAATTGTTGGCATGCAGGCTTGTTAGTACCTTTGTTGTGTATGCCTTTGATCAAGCCCCCCAAAATGGTTGTGACTGTGCATGCTTAAAACATTTGTCACTTTGCAGGGTCGAGCAGAGCATACATGCTGCAGAATCCAGATGAGCTCACTACATGACAGCCCGTGTCCAAGGAGACACTGTAAAGTTGAAGATGGTGGTTGACTGTGACAGATTGGTTTTTGGTTTGGGTGGTGATGCAGAAAAGGATTCATTCCTCTGTGCTTGAAACGTCCACCTGGATTCTGGAGGCTTAGTAAAAGCCTGCAGTTAGTTCGGTCTGAAGCAGTTTTCTTCAACATACGAATACCATTTCTGTGATGTAATGGATGGGAATTATTATTCTGGACACACTGAGAAGCCATATGTGTTTTGGACTACGATGCCAGAGTGACTTTCTGTGGCTTTAGGCCTAGTCTGCTGGGCTGCTCCTGAGAATGATGTAGAATAGCACTACAAGCTGTTGAATGTTGCATCCTCTTATTATAAAGCAGCCAGATGCCTTCAGTGTCAGTGAAGGCAGGCTCTGCTAAGCTCTGCAGCCAAACACAGGATAACCTTAATAAAGGGTCGTGGCATTTGTTTAGAGTGTGTAAAACCTCAAACGCGTGTCTCTGTTCAATTAGACCTACTTTTAATTTGTGAAAGGAGAAGTGTAGTCATGTCTGTGTGCCAAGGTGATGTTTTGAAAGAAATGAATGGTGAACTGAAACAGGTTGTCAGGGGGAATCTGTTAATTTCAGCAATTCATTTATGGATGTCTACAAGTCAAAGCTATATTATTCAAGCGCAGCTCCCAAATATTGACTCGTCTAATTTGTCTTTTATGTCTGTTTATGCTGCAACTTTATTATTAGTGATGTTGCACAGTGAAAGTGAATGAAATGTCATTTCTGATGCATGTGAGTGTGTGCCAAAATGTTGATCATTTGCATTAAAACTAATGTAGTGAGCAGACAAATAGAGTATATTGTTCACCTTGTCAGTTTAATTATTGTAGCAGGAAGAAAGTGCTGCACAGTGCTGAAGCGCTGTCACAGAGTTTACATTTGTAGCTGTCACCAGGCCAAAAATAATCCCAGGAAACTTAAGCCATCGTGTAGCAAAATAACACTGGTGTTATATAATTTACACAAGGAGCTCAATCATTTAAAAACACAGTTTATGTTAGAAAACTTGGCAAAAGCTTTTGCGACACCAGTAAAAGAGCACTTACAACACATAATCATCTCATCTCGGGGCTTAATGACCTGGCAGTGTAAAAAGCACAGTATACTCAGCAGATGCAACTAATAAAACATTCATCTTGCATTATGCACCAAGCCAAGAACCTTCTGTTGTAGCATGCAGCACCTATCGGAAAATGGCTCATTAGCTCCAATGCACTGTTGAACTTGCTGAGTGAACATGTTGCAAATGCATGCACTCTCTCTCTCTGTCCATCTTTATTTTGCAGGAGCGTGAGTTTGCTGACCTTGGGTAAGAGCAGTTCCTGGAGAAGAAAGATGTGGCGGCACCTGCTCATCTCATCACGGCGGGGCACGTTCACTGAGCAGACATTTGCTTTAACTTGAAAAGTCCTTCCCCTGGCAAAATCGACAGCTTGGCGATAACGTGTTTAATAGATCATTTTACACCTCCGCTGTAGGATTTGATGGACTGCCTTTGGGGATCTTTTCGTGAAGCCTAGCTGGGTTCACGGAGTCAGTGCGCTTTTGAGTTTCCCATAAAAGGCTTCATCTGTTGGATATTATGATTACCTTGGATCTATCCCACTGATAACATTCTCTTGGATATTGTGGAGATTCTCCTCAAGGGGGTCTTTGCCCAAGTGGAGGTTTAGCAGTGCCGCGTTGGGCCCTCGAAGGCTTTGATTCCCGGTTAACAGGAGGGTTTATTTGGATGCTTCCAATGAAGGACATGGATGGCCCTCGATCTAGTGGTCTCCGGAAGAAGAGGAAGTCGAGGTCCGAGAGGGATCGGGAGAGGAGATCAAATGGGATACAGAACAACCACGTGAAGGGCTCCGTGTTTCGCTTCTCCTCTGACTCAGAGCGGGAGGGTGACAGGGAGCCCTCGTCGTCCCGACCTCGACCTCCACGAAGAAAGCGGAAGGAGTCTACTTCTGCCGAAGAGGACATCATTGACGGCTTTTCCATCACAGGGTTCGTGACCCTCGAGGCCCTGGAGGTGAGTTCTGTACCACGGAGTGGGAGGGGACTTGTTTGCACTTACACATTAAACTCGAGCTGTCAGACGGTGTGTTCTGCTGAATGGATCGGTCAGGTACTTTTGTTTTTAGCTCCTACCTGTGTGTTTGGCTGTGGTGTGAGCTGGTGTTCAGCAGATGCAGGCTGATGTTGTCTGGATGAGTTTTCTTGCAAAGCCTCACACCAGATGAAGTATGTTGAGCTATGGTTGTAGAAGCTGTTGTGCCTTTGTGCGCTTTGGCACGAGAGAGCAATTTGATCCATGTTACAACAGTTTATTCACTGGTGGTAATTTATTATGTGCTGGCTATCCATTTTCCTTGGCTGACCTCCAGTGATATAGTTCTACATTATGACTTGCATGAGCAAGCATTTTATATAGAGCCTAACTGCTACATTTTTCTGTAGTGGCAAGTTACACAATTGTGTGACAAACCTCTGCAGTTGTGGAAATATTCTGCTCTAGGTGTTGCCATTTGTCCATGTCAGTTTTTAGCTATCGCGGAGTCTATTTTGTCGTGACTGTCGTGACTGTAGAATAAGGACAGCGATTGACACGAAGAAGCGTCATGAGGAAACAAACGGCAACAGGAAGTACAGACGTGTCTACATATTCAACCCAAAGACATTTGAGCAGATAGGGTTGCTACATTAACGGGTGGTTATTCTACATCCAGCATTACTGATCTACATTATTAACTTCATTATCTGTCCTCCCAAGGTTCGAGGGTATAAGTTTGACACTAAGGTATGCAGTGCGGTGCTAATCTCTCGTTCACTAGTTTGGTCCATATCAAGGATATAAAGAGTCGTACTTGTCCTCATTGTATCCTTTTGTTAGACAGAGCCACACTTTTCGCAGTTCAAGAGTTGCTTACGGTCATGTTTTTATTCCTCTTTATTCAGAGTGACTCCATTGAACAGTCGTGGGCTCTTGTGCTTCTCTGTGCGTCCTTTCTTTCTCCTCGCTCTGCCTGACCTTCTTTCAGTTGTTCTTTCCGTTGATGTTTTCTGGATCAGTCTGCTAAAGAATTGCTGTTCAGTTTGAGTGTCTGGTTAAAATGACAACAGCCCAGCGTATGTGCATAACAGAAGGCAAACGGAGACCTTGAGAGAACTTCGGTGCAGTCACAGGGCGAATTGGACAATAGCATGTGCCCCCCCCCCCCCCAAAAAAAACAAACAAACAAACAAACAAACAAACAAATGACTTCAGTGCAACCTGTGGTATAGTACACTTTTGTCTTTGTCAGTAGTAAGCTCTACCCTGTCTGCTGCTGTAGCCATGGTCCAGGTCCCTGAACACCCCCCAAACTGAGAGTTTACTAATACACCAAAAATCTACTAATAGGTTTAATTGGTGCCATTGTTGCAAAGCAAATAATGCCATTATATGTAAACGCTTTATTGTCCCTGTGTGGATAACTCGTCCCATACCCTTTGTCGTTGAGACGCCGTTCTTGGACCAGGTCGATGGTGGAGTGCTGTTTTATTTGTAGCATACACATTTTGTTGTGTTACATATATACACACAAACACGGTGCATTTTTGTGCACTGTGGGAAAAAATGGAGATGGTGAGCTGGTCCTGATGTTTTTGAATAAGAAATGGAAGAAACTCAAATTATTGGTTCATCGAATGTTCAAGAGCGAGAATTTCATGGTTTGATCAGGAGTTGAAGCTGTGTCGCCACCACTTTAGTCCAGGGGGGGCAGTTTGAGCTCTATTAGCAGAGTTGGAGGCACAGAAATCATTTCAGGGACGGCTGAGCCAGAGCAGCGTCTAGCTGTGTGTCTGAGGTAGAATAGGATTATTTTACTGTTTGTATGTTCAGTACCAGAGTGCATTTTGAACTGCAGCACACTTGTTGCCAAACGCAGTAATCTGATTGGTCAGATGTGTTTGTTCAGAACTAAGAAATCTGATTAAACAGGAAAAAAAACCAAAAAACTGAGCTTGGTTTGAAAAAATAAATGTTGTAAATTTGTCTGTGTGAGTTGCTGCATTTAAAATAGATTCGTCTGCAAATGATTTTTAATGCACAGAAAAATCACACGCATGTTACACATCTGTTACACATCTGTTACACACGTTTGATCTGTAACTGCTCCTTAAACATCTTTAATAATTTGAACAAGATCTTAAAAATCTTTTTATTTTTTTCAGCAAAAAATAAAAAAATAAAATAAAAGCATAATTTCATTAGCAGGAAGTTAATCTGTTGATATAATCTGTGGCTGATTTTTAAAATAAAAGCCTGAAATAACTACCAGAGTAGACCAGAACGCTTTAAAATCATCACATCATGTAATTACTTACTGGATATTATCAGTGCTGCTTTAATGCTGTTAAGTTATACAATAAAAAAAAAATAGAGTTAATTTTTGATGCTCATAGATATCTCAGATTTTCAAAACAAACTTGTATAATTGAGGATTTTTATCTTCAAGTCTTCAAGTTGTCACATTTTCAAATTTAAATTTGGTTCTTAATTAGTCAAACTAAATAGCTAATAATAAAAATTCCCCTTTTCCTTCAGTGTTTTCTGCCAACCTGCAGTTTACTGAAGGTTTCGTTGTACTTTAACGTTTGATTATAACAGATTTATTATCCGCAGCCTCGTCCTGGTGCCTTACGAGAGCCGTTTGCGTAGTTTGTTCATTTATCAGTCTGTTACTGAATTTTAAACAGAATAATGAATGAAAATATTTAAGTGTCATTAAATTAATATTGAGTCACAGCGATCTAGAAAAATCTTGTCAGAGTGGTTTACTCAGTAATAAATATGCTCTTCAAGTAAGAGTAGCAGGAAAAACTAATTATACTTGGTTTGTGTGCCAATTCTGTCACACACACACACACACACACACACACACACACACACACACACACACACACACACACACACACACACACACACTTGCTTGATTCAGCATCATCTAGCAGACAGAATAGATGGCACTATTGAAGTATGCTATAATACTATAATACTTCCACTTCTTGGAGAGCATTAAGTGCAGAGCTTTGTTGAAATGAGCCTCAGATGTAATAATTCAGATGCTGTGAAGTGGGAGAGGTTTATCTTTCTCCTCGGCACTGACTGGATGTAATAACATTTCTTTCACTCTTTGTCCGAGTGTGTTCAGTTCAAAATGTTTGCACGTGTGTTTCATCGGTCTGCTAATTTGTCCCCAACTCATCAGTTAATTTTTAGATCTCTAAAATGTTTTTTTGTTTTTTTTTTAATTAAAAAAATGCTAATCTCAGGTTAAAGAATGAATGTAGCGAATATATTATTGAACTGATTGATTAATTGAACACCTCAGGCTGACTGGAGCTGAAGTTTAGTGATTCAGATGTTGAGAAGTTCTGAAACAAGATTTCACTCTATTTTCTACGTCTTGATTCCCCATCTCTCTCACACACACACACACACACACACACACACACACACACACACACACACACACACACACACACAGCTGCTGACTTTTAATTATGACTGAGAGGAATGAAGGAGGTTTTGATGGACTCGGGTTTGTAAGTCTTCCAGGAGAAACTGCAGCGTGTTTCGTTTCGAATGATTGCCATTTCCTGAGGAATGCTTTGATGTGATAAATGCTGCTGGTGAGACTCCTTACAGCTTCTCGCATATGGATAAGACTACTTAGGAAGGATTTTCATGGCAGTAGACATGGTTTTCATATGAATAATTAGGCAACATTTCAATCTTGGTGAGAATCTCTGATTTCTCCGTCTCTGTGTTACTTTATCCCCCTTTATTGTTTATTATTGTTTTTTATTAATTTCACACTAGTGACCCCAGTTTGCTTTGTTTGGACCACATAATATTTCGAGCACACGTATATCACAGTCTGGGTAAAGTTAAATTCTGATGAGGTCAGAGCCCTGGAGGTAGATGCCAGTGCGCTCCATCTGTCACCGCGGTGCTGGAGACACACTGCTCCCAGGCCTGCTTTCAGTGTGCATGCTGATAGCCTAGCTTTAGGAGCTAAGGCTTCATTGATGAGGCTCCTGAGACCTTCAGCTACCAAGTAGCTTTTGGTAGCTGTTGTACAGTATGTGGTTGTCACAGTTCCTTTGTTGTTTGTCGGTGCTCTTCAGTTCGTGTTCGTTGGTACTGTTGTTAAAGGAAGTAGCTGCTGCTTGAAGAAACCTCCCAGCCTTCACCTGCATCAGCTCGTAATGTAACAGGAATGGAGGATGGGCGATATGACCTCAAAATAATATCATCGTATTTCTATAAAACTTGTGATCATATTTCTGATGATATAAGGAAACGATCCAGTGAGTTACTGTCACTGATGACAGACGACATAATTCAATGTGTGAATCTTTTAGCATGAGGTGCTAGCAGCACTATAATGCAATAGCAGAGACACAGCATGCGTCAAGTCTAAGCCCAAATGTAACTTTGGTATTTTTCCTGAAAATCGTCAGTAAAAGTATAACGAGACTGCTCAACACTGTAGTTTAACAGCAAGTAAAGTTCCTGAACCTTGTAACTGTTCAGGAGTTGTTACATAAAAACATTAAAATGAAATGTATTTTTGCATGGGGTGTATCTTGCATTAAGCTTTTTAACCAGCTGCTCAAAGCCCTGTAGTTTTACCATTGAACCACATCAGTAATTTCCATCCACCGTCAGCTCTTCCTGTCTTATGGAGTACAGCTCGCCGTTCTCGGTGGAGCCATTTGTGAACATTTGGGTCAGGCGTCACCAGCTGCAAATATCTCTTCCTTCGTAGTCTGGATGGACAGTGAAAGTTTGTTGTTTCCACCTTTCATGGAAAGTTTTCCTGCATATTTTGCAAGACTGCAAAATATGCAAGGAAAGCAAGGAATGCACAGGCTGTTACACGTGGGTGTGCGTTCCTTATTGTTGTGTGCATCAAGCAGTGTAAATTCATGGGAATGACACTTTTACATCATTTACACTGATATTATTGCAGATGCACT